GGACAAGGAGCGGCGAGAGGGGCGGAACGGGCCGGTTCCCGACGGGCGGGCTCCCGAGGGGCCCAGGGCGGGATGGGGGCAGCGGGGAGCCGGGCGGCAATTGCGGCCTGACGCCTGCGGGACGCTGAAGGGCGAGCCCGGAGTGCCCCTCAGGAATTTAACCTGTACGGCACCAGCTTTCCGGCAGGATCCGCACTTAAACTCTCTTGACAGATGAGTTCCTAACTTAAGCCCCTCCAACGAGGACGATACCACGATCCCCTGGGTTCTACCGTGTAATTATACCTAGAGCTGGAAAGGCTCTTTTTGTAATACTTAATTCTCTCTACTGAAAATTGTGTTCGTGGTCATAGGTGTACAAAGGGTCACGTGTAATCTTTTAGTGTCTAAAAGCCCAACTTTTTACACTTTGGAAACCTATTACTGTCTCTCATTTTTTTCTTTGACTATACAAGTATTTTAACGTTTCCTCTTCATGAATGTTTTCCCAACCCTTTCAGCCTTTCTGGCTCTCTCTGTATTCCCTCTCATTTAGTCACATGTTCCACGGTTTGCCAATGCAACTATCATGTAGTTGACGACATAACATGTAGTGATCACATCTACTTTTAAGTGCCTGTAGCACTTATGAAATCTTTGTGAGCATTTCTACATTTATTGTAGGGTAGGGTTTTTTTTCCAGGCTGGAATCCTTACAGCAGTGTTTTGTATTGGAGGAAAAAAAAAAACCAGCTGAGCTTTTATCCCTAGATAAAGCGTCTTCCTCAATCACCTGATTTCAAGTAACTATCTAATAAAATTAAAGTGAATCTCTGTCTTCCATGTGCCATGAAGCATTGCTTAGGGCGTGGACAAAGCTGTCTGTTCAGTTAGTCTCTAGGATGTTAAAAAGGAAATTCTGGAATTTTTTTTCTGCATTAATAAAAGTTTCAGTAAGATTTCTCATAGTGAGGGTTATAACACCATGTAACTTTGATATGCTTCTTTGGAATTCACTTTGCATGAAAGCAGTGTGAGCCTTGGGTCCCACTGGGTTGCTCCTGGTTGTTCCCCCGCTGTCCAGACTGAGGATTCAGAATGCCTCTTAGAGATCCTTCTGTTGATTCCACTGTCTGTGTCTCTCACAAAGGAGAAGCATCCATGTGTTGTGAGGAGAGCTAAATTCCCCCACTCGGGGTCAGTGGATGTCAAGTTGGCATGTCTGCCTTGAAGGTCAACCTTGTCTTGCACAGGGGTAGTGGCAAGGTTGTTAATTGGATTGTAACTGGACTTTAGGGTGCTCTGACAAGTGACTTCTGCTCTTTTGGGACAGAACAAGCAGTCTGTGTGAATCTCTAAGTGATGAGAAGGGGAGGCCGACAGCTACAAATGATCTGTCACTTGTTGGTTCCTCCTGCTCTTGGCTGACCTGCATACTCGTTCTCTGTGGGAGGATGGATCTTGTTTGCTAGCTGGGCTGCAGCTCAGGCAGAGCCCCTTGTTCCCTGGGGAGCTCTTAAGGATGTACAGTAGAGAAGGACATTAGCACTAGACTGTTGCTGAAGCTGGAGGGGATGGGAAGACAATTCTCATCTGCCTCTTCAGCTTCCCAGGCTGGGTTAAATGTTTCCTGGGGGCACTTAAAAACGTGCTCTCTGGTCTGTCCCCTGAGTGTATAATGGGAATTCCCCCCCCAGTTCAGTGCCTGTGAGAGCTCTGCAGCAGGTGCAGCACAAAGCAATGCTCAACGTCGGCCTCATGTTGCCTCCATGTGCATGAAAGGGCTCACACAGGAACATGCACTCAGCCTGTAGCTGTGCTTTCTCTCTGGGTCCCCTGCTGGTATTTTGTGCTGCTTTGGCCACCTCTACCATCCCTCTGCCATGGACCCTGGGTTGGTCCTGCCCTGGAGGGCACCAGCAGCATCTCTGATTGCTCTGTGCTCAGTGTCCAGGATGCTCTTTGGATGTCTGGTGATTCATGTACAGCGTTAAGGCACTTGCCCTAAAGTGGGCTGGAAGTGTCTCCATTCATCTTTCTGGGAATTGTATTTAGCATGTCCTTTTGCTACATGCCAAGCCCTGCCTTGATATATTTGTAGTCTTCCAGATGTTCAGATGAATTTTTTTTTTCATGTGGCATATTGCTGTGTAACCCAGCAGGCACCACACTTGATCTTCTTCCTCTGCAGTGTAAAAAAAAATCTCTTGTCTTTATAGACATTGGGACTAGTGACACATCTGCCTGTTATATTCTCTCACTGCTTATACCTTGTGCTTTACTTTGGGTTTCAGTATCTTATTTTAGCAAGCATAGCTGCTGCAATGGGAAAATGGCTTGTTACTATCCTTGGATTTTATTCTGACACTGCAGCTGGTTGGTTTGGTTATTTTTTACTTAACGAAAAAGGCTCAAATTTGCCCCTTAAAAGTTCTGCTTTAGAGCGACAGTGCTGTCCAGGGGAAGAGTGGGAATGAAAGAACAAAAAGGAATGGATGCTGGATAGTTCCCAAAAGGAACTGTTGCCTGATAATGTCAGGCTCACTTTTTACCTGAACGTGTTCCTCAACCACAGCATCAAAGTAATCAAGAGGGGTAAGAAAAATGAAAAAATGTGTATATGTGGGGGATGGTTTATGAGGCTCCAACTTTCCAGTTTTCCTGTTAGCTCTGAAGCATGAACTCTGAAACTCAGTTTGTTCAAATTCATGGAAATCTGCTAACCACGTTGGGTCATAGAATGGTTTGTGTTGGAAGGGGACCTTAAAGATCATCTTGTTACAGCCCTGCTGCCATGGACAGGGACATCTCTCACTGGACCAGGCTGCTCAAAGCCCCATCCAGCCTGGCCTTGAACACTGCCAGGGATGGGGCATCCACAGCTTGTCTGGGCAACCTGTGCCAGTGCCTTGCCACCTCACAGTAAAAAATTATGTGATTAAGTAAAGATATGAGACCTTGGACAGTTATTAAGCTAACTAATTCTATAAAATATAGTGTTGAAATTAATACAGTGTGAATAGAGCAACAAAATCTCTTTGAGTTGTTTCAGAGATAAACCTCAACGTTACCAATCCTGTACAGATTCTTGGTGTACTTAATTAACAGCTTAAAACACTTTCCAAATAATTGGGTGAACTACGTAGTGTGTTTTATTTTCCCAAATGTGCAACTTTCCCCTCTGATCTGTGCAAAAGATTACGTGAACCCAGTAACAGATAAAGTACCTTACATGATCTTCTGGTGTGAGATGACAGTGAAACACAGAAATACTTTCTGCTTGTTTTGCCATAGAATGCACTTGAAGCACCCAGCTGCTTAGTGAATGACAGACTTAAAGGTGTCTACTGAAGAGAAATTATCTGACTGTGGATGTCTATGTACGTTGCTAATTTTGAGATTAAGCTGCTGGGTTGTGATGATGAACAGTTGTTGGCTACAGTTGTATGTGCTTAGCTTGTGATTTTTGCAGGAAAATATGGACAGCATGAAATGTACCTATTGTTACTTATTTTTTAAAAGGTGATGCCTAATTAGCAGACTTAATTATTTTGTGTCTATTGAAAGCAGCAATAAGGCTTCCAATGTATTGCCTTTGGGGTTTTTTCAGTACTCATTACAATGTTTCCTGGCATTCATCAACACTTCTAAATTACTGGGAAGAGTGTAATTAATCATTTGCTTCCTTATGCTTCCTACTAGACAAACACAGATCATTGCAGGCAAGTTGAAGTAAGCCATTTCAGATTTTCAAAACATGCTGCAGCTAGTGGAATCTTGGAGTAAGCACCGCTTCAAACATTCTATCAATGTTTAGCACAAAAGGTAACTCAGTGCCTGGCTGCAACAGGATTTGATGACAAACAGTTTATGAGTTGTCTTTGAGGAAGGATTTCTCTGTCACTAAGTCAATAAAAATTCAAGGAAGAGGTTTATGGGATTTGTTTTCAGTCCAGCCCAAGTGCATCTCAAAGCAACTTGAGAAAATAGAGTTCAAGTGTTAGAAGCACCAAATTCTGAACCAAACCTTGTCAGCTGACTGTTCTTTCATTGGGATTTATTTAGGTTTGCTGTATTAAATCAGAAGTCATATACAGAAAAGTTTTGTTTAGGCCAAAAAGGAAAAGTAAACCAAGTAGACAAGTTCAGACTACAAAGATCAGAGTTTTTATCTTTATTCTGCAAATATGGAACATTTGGAAAGCATTGCGTAAACGGAACTTATGCCAAGTTTTCTGAAATAGTTACCATCTGATTTGTCTGCATGATATTTACTTGGTAAAAATGCATTTTGCTCTGTTTTTGGAAGTGAGAGCTTACCCATGAACTGCAACCTGTAGGGACAGAAAGTATGTTCTTAAGTGGTTTGTCAGCAAAAGTTTAAATCTGCTGCTGTCCCTACCCCCCCAAGCTGCTTCACAAACTCACGTTGCCGCTGGAATGAAAGCGCTCACGGCGCTCGGAGAGCAGCGGCCAAATGTGTATAACGTGCTGCCCCATGAGGAGGGGAGGGAACAAGCTGGCCAAGAACTGAGTACAAATACATAGCCCAATTTCTTCTGAAAGAATGAAACAATCCTTTTATGTCCTTGTAGGAAAGTAACAGCTTTCTGTTCTCCCTCTGCAGGCTCCTTTTCTAGAAAACCGTTCTTCAAAAGAGCGGAGTGCAGCAGCATGCTTCAGCCTCCAGGATTCACACCACTACCTTTAGGCAGTACGACTACTTTTGAGTTATTGCTTAGAGGAATGATAATAATAAAAACTGAATAGCTTTAAGAAAAAAGAAAAAAAAAAAGAGACCTTTGAGCACTGTCACGTAACTGCTGGTAACAATGACTGTTATGTTTATCTTGCCAGTTTTAACCTTGTTGTCAATTACCACATTTCACCCTAGATTCTGGTCTGTAAGAAATCCATGCTAAAACGAGCATTTGTTTCAGCAAAGGCTTCCAACTGAATGCGAGCCACAAAGGGTTTCTTTTAAGTAGGATATGAGTGGGGTTTTTTTTTTCCTCCTCCCTTCCTCTGAAGGAGTGAAGACAAGTTCTGGAAGCTTGGTTGCTGGTCTATAACATTAATAGCATGAAGTCTCTACAGTGTTTCTGTGTTAAACACTCTTTCAGAGCCATTTCTACTTAAGGGATTTAGTTGCTGAAGACTTACCTAAGACCCGTGTTCCCAGTTAAACACAAGAATTGACCTTACCATGTATGGAATATATCAACAGCCTCGTTTCGCTTGTTTATTTTGTTTTTTGACTGATTAGTCTTATTGTATTAATGCTTATGATGCAATGTATTTAGGTTTTGGAGGGGTAAAACCTGCCATGGTAGTGGAAGTAAAAGCAATCAGATAAAGGAGAGTGTCTGTCCTCACCTGCAGACTGTGGGAAGTATTTGAGCCTGCTTCAGGCTACAGTGCTTGGACTCAGCTTGTTGAAGGCACTTGGCCAAAGACCATCCCACACCTGCACTGTGAAGGCCACGAAGGTTCACTGGGAGAATGATGGGACACGTAGGTGCCTTGCTCAGTCTTGCTAAAGCCCAAGTATATTATCTTTCTTAACCTGTCCCTTTAGAGTTAAATCTTGTTCCTTTATATACCTGGTAGTAAAGGAACTTTAGTGTTTTAAGTACTGCAAGAGTCCTAGAAGTACATCTGAGTGGATCTCCATATGAGGGAATTACAAGGAATGGGTCCTATGGGCGTTTAAAAAGGGAAAGGAAAAAAAGGGAGAATGTAATTACCACGCTGGCGATGATTCCGGTCCCTGAAGGAATGACTATTGCGTGAGGGCTGCCTATCGGACAAAGTGAGTTTGTAATCTGTTTGTAGTGGCAGATTCCATGCTTGGCTCATTATGATACCTCAGCCTGAGTTAATTATAGAGTTTGGGATTGGGGGTGAGGAGAAAGACAGAAATGAAAGTCTCTCTCAGAAAAGCTAATTCAAAGGAAAGCAGAGTGCAATTCAGTGCCTTTTCTTCCATCTGACACTTCAGCTGCTGAGAGCACCGCACCCTTACACACACAGACAGTGCCATCTCTGGAAGGTCCTATCATAAGAACCCCGTGAAGCAGCCTATTGTTGGGTGCTGCTCTGAGCTGGGTACACTTCAGGGTTATAAACACCACCAGGCTGTTCCAACATTGCTTATTTTCAGATCACTCTCATATTGATGCATTCCCTTGCATGTTTTCTGTTTGTGACCTATTTTTGATGCATTTCACATCTGCTTTAGCAGCTCTTTGACAACCAGAAAACAGGGCTGTTTACTGAGTTCACAGCTGCTGCTAATATCCGTGCAACTAGCCAGAGCTGACTGTTTCCTTGCTTAGCTCATCCTGTTGAATGAACCTCTCCGCAGGGTTTGTTGCAAGTTTGTTTCAACTGGAATGCTATCAAAAGTTTCCACACATTTGTGAAATTCTCATACTTCAGCCTTCCTAGAAACCCAGAAACATATGCACCCTCGCTAATTCCAGTAACTTTCTTCTGTTTCCCATGGCTTAACTACATCAGCTTTTCACAGATAGTGAAAACAGCCTGTTGTAAATGGGATGAAATTCCTGCTGTCATTAGTTAACACTAATGCTGCTGACAGCTTTGCACTTGAACCGAGTCTTTAAGGAAATGAGTCTTCTCATCTAGTTTAAGGACACTATTGCCTATCAGCTCATATTGCAGTGTTTCATTATGGTAACTAAATTACCTTATTTTTTACATTGTTTTATTTGTATCCAGATGATGTTTGAAGAGGGCTAGGAATGTAAATTAATCCTCTAGCATTTCCTTGTATCATCTTCAGTGAATGGCTTGCTCAAGGTGTGTCATCTCTCAATGAGGCTACATCCTGTAAGGCTGAACCTGTGCTGTCATCTGAGTGTCCGTGGGTGGTTTGTGGTTTGCTACTCATGCAGTTCATTACACTATGAATTAGTTATTTCAGGACACTTGTTCCCACCAAAGACAGATATTATTGTACCTTTGTGGTGTAGGTGCAAGAAATCACAGCTGTGTGAGATATGGGTAGTTTGGTTTTGTTGTTGCTGGTTTGTGCTTAGGCATTGATTAATAACACAATGTGGCCGGCAGCCAGTGTGTGTGCTTCTGGAAGTGAACAGAGGTCCCAGTCTCCATGGAGCAATTAAGCTGGGGACACACTTCTTCAGTTCCAGCTGTTTGGGCCCCTGCCTGAGTCTGCCCTTTCTGATTTTATAATACTGTTCAGCACTGTTATTGACCATCTCCCAAGTGCTCATGTTTTTAATAATTGTGTTTCCTAAGCCACATCGTGGATCTCAACTTTCAAGCCTTTCTATGTCCTTGTGAAGTAAATGTTATCAGGTTAGCTGTGATCTGAATTACAGATGTGGATACAGAGGCACAAAGGGTATAAAAGATCTGCCAAAGTCATTTCAGTGCATCAGAGACAAAATTAGGCAAAAAGATTTCTGACTCCCACCTGTGTCCTACTCTTCCAAGCAATTTTCATGCTTCATTCAATTTTGGAACTTTTGCTGTCACGGTATCTCACAGGTAGCTTTCATTTCTTAATGGTTTTGAAGATTGATTTTCACCACTCCCACCCCCAGTTCATTTCCACTTGTTAATGAAGTATATATTGAATTTTCTTTGGTCCATTGTGAAACTCCTGATGGTGACTCTAAAGTGCTTTCTGATCCCTACCTGCTGCGTCTTAGACAATGACAGAGAATGTAGTGACCAGTCTCTACTCTCATTTTACCAGCTGCAGCCAAAAGGAGATACAAGACCAATTTTTTGGGCTTCTTGTAGATGGACTAAAATATTTAGTTGCTAATAGGCTTTTCAGTTTGCATTGCTCCACTTCAGATGACCAGTGTTGTGGGGTAGTTTCAAAATATTTCTTGTGGTGGTTAACTAAACTTGGAATGCTTTGTTTGTTTGTTTGTTTCTAGTGTTTTGACAATAACAAGGTGAGTGCTCATCATAGGAAGCTCATGAACCAATTTTTGGTACCTAAAAGTTGTTGTCCACTGAAACCTAGATGCACAACAACCTTCTCTGAACCTCTGTTTCTTTTAAACCCGTCTCAAAAACTCTGGGAAGTGAAATCTTGGTTTTCTGACACATCCGCTAGTTTTGATGTGTTCTAAGGGGAGCCTGAATGAGTAGCTTAATACTTAAATTTGAGATGGCTAAATCTGTCCAAGCAAAATCCCACCTCAGTTTAAGACAAAATGTAACAGTGGTGGAATAAATGGATTGAGAGTGACCACTGTGCAGCTGAAAGTGGGTAATGAAGTGCCTTCTGTTGGTTTATACAAGTCTCAGTGTTGCTTTGCTGTACTGGGAGGTAGGAAGAACCAGAAATTAATCCAGTCAACACAGCTCTTTGTGGAAGTCATGGTATGTGCACAACTCATTGACTCATAGGTTCCTTGCCAAAACATCACCTCTTCTACATCTATGAGTGTCCTCTAATCTTTCTGCACCAAAACTCATCTTTGTTCCTTTAGTGTTCTTTTCCTCTCTGTGAATTCATTCAGCTGGAGAGATGGCAGGTATTCATCAAGGCAGCTCTCTAGTTCCTACCCAGGACATTCTTAGCACCCTTCCATTTGGTCAGGAAATTTTTTTCTAGGGCTTTGCTGATGTATCATTTTCTAGCTGCAGTCGGACAATGTATGGGTTGGTAAGCTGACACATGTGGACTTGACCTGTATAGGCTCATTGGGTCCCTGGGTGGTTGCTGGAGAGGATTGTGGAACAGTGCAGGCAGAACAAATGCTAAAATACAGCAAGCATATTCCTCCATGGGGAAATTGACCCAGTTGCAAAACAGCTGAGGTGAAAAGAGACCACTGAAAATAGTCCAGACCCGGTGATCAACTCTGCCCAGGTACCTTGTCCAGTCATGTTCTGTGTATCTTCAACAATGGAGACTCCACACCCTCTCTAGGCAACCTGTGCCAATGTCCAACCATACCTGCAGTAAATGTTTTATCTTAAAAGGGCATGTAAGTAGAGTTCCCTGTATTTCAATTTGTGCCCACTGCAATTAGAAAGGAAGAGGCAGTTGTGTAGGTGGATTTTAGCAAAGTCAAGAGAAAGGAAACAAAGCATTAGACTGCAGTAAAACAGAATTCTGTAGCAAAAATTATGAATTTCCGTGACACAGTGCAAATCAGACTCTAAAGACTGGAAGAGGGAAATCCTTCCAGCCCCAGTTGAAATAGATGAGGTAGTTCACACCTCTCAGAATTGCAGTTTGAGGCAGCCTGAAATGCGATGGAGAGTGAGCTATGTCAGCATATGCTTTGGAGCATGTTCTCGATTTTATCTGTATATGTGAGCGCAAGAAAATTCTCTTATTTTTCAGCACTGAGCTGGATTTCTCCAGCACAGTTCTGTGGCAATGGGCGAATTCCACAGGAAAGCTTTACAGCCACAGAACATATAAAGTCTGGAACATGGATAAACTGGTTAGGATAAAATAGAAACCAGCAGAACCCTCTGCCAAAATCTGAAGTGAAATGAATAGAGGTTCAAAAAAAGTTCATTCATTATGCCTGGCTCCTTGCTTCCATAATTTAGGAATAATTACATTTTTGTCACTAACATTGTTTTTAAATGTCAATAGAAACCAGACAAGTATATTTGTACACCCAGCCCTGTCACATTGAATATATTAGGTTTTCCAGTACCAGCCTCTTTCAAGTAAAGCTGAGGAAGCATTAAAAGCTCAGTAACTCTCAAGTGTTAGGAAGCTATTGAAAGAGCTTGTTA